ACACACACACACACACACACACACACACAACACACACACCGCCTCCTACACCTATGGCTGGAGGACAAACTGAGCACATTTCCTCACTCTGCTGTTGTCTTTAGTCTCTCGTTTCTACATGTTTATTGTAATTATTTCCATCAATAACTTGTTTTTTTCTTTTTGTCTCTTTTCCAGAAGTAGGTGCACCTGAACCAGTTCTTCTGTGTTTGGCTGTGTCTCTTTTCTGTCCCCCAACCAGCCTGTTGAGGCAGATGGCTGCCTGTCCTGAGCCTGGTTCTGCTGGAGGTTTCTTCCTGATTAGCAGGGAGTTTTTCCTCTCCACTGTTTGCTCAGGATGGGAGACTGTGATGAAGTGATTCAACACAATCTGCTGGCTTCTTTAGATTGATAAGTTTTATTAATTGACTTTTATGAATGTTTTTGTACAGTGTCCTGAGACATTTGTTAAACTGAATTGATAAGAATTGAATGAAAGTGTACGTAGATTTATAATATTTTGTTTGAGTTTTTTAACAAGGGAAGTACATTTAGAATCACTTAAATCTTCACGTTTTTGTTTTAAAAAAATAACATATTTTTAAGTCAAACAATGAGGGAGCATCAACCTAAGTTTGGACCCTGATTTTGAAACATGGGGGCAGCAGCTGCTCCAATGAGAAGGCACATAGTGTTGAGCATTGGTGTGATTGTTCTTAGTACACATAATTGGAAGTTCTATTTCAGATTTACAATATTTTTACTTTGTGATTATTTGTTCTTATGAACAGACAGAGATACTGTAGCTTGTCTTAAAAATATAAATAAATAAACAAAACATGTTTAAAATTTTTAAATATCCAAAAGCATCTACCTTTCCAACGAGTTTCCCCTTGCGGTTCATGCAGAGATAACGTCCACTTTCTGCACCTTTTATCCTCACTCGACTACCAAAGGTGTCAGTTTCAACAAACAAGCGAGCTACAAGACAGGGACAAAGGATCAGTAAGCTGAAACAAACTGTATTTTTTAGATTAGAGTCATTCATGTGTGTCTTTGACAGAACAAAATTAGTCTGCCGTCTGCTTTTAGCCTAAAATATGAAAATCAGATTTTATCTATTRTTTATTATATCCACATGGCAAAAAAACAAGTAGTAAAACATAATGAGCTAAATTACAATTTTGTTACAGACTCTATGATTAAAACTAAGATGTACTATGTCTACACTTAGCCTAGTCTACAAATGATCAGTTTATAAAATATAAGGCAAAACTCACTGGACTTTCACTGCTGTGACTGGTAACTGGAGAGCACCATTTTGCAAGGCAGTTACCAAAWTGTCTCAAAAACTTTATGGGGGTTCTCAGTTTCCTCACATGAGCTGTACGGATTTGATGCCTTGTTTCTTACATTTTGAATGGATTCAAAAAWTTTTAGAAATTTAAATAACATTAATAGATGTTTTTTAAAGGTCCAAATCTGTCTATCTTTATTTCTCCAGTAGATCAAATCTTGAATGTGGGGAAGTCTGCAAAGCAGGTTGAGTTGATTTTGCTTGAGACTGACAAAAAATAATGTGCATTGTCTAGAATACAATTTTGCAAATCATGCACACAAACATACTAGGTGTAATTTTCAAAAATTGCCTGTGCCAAAAACAGCTACTTGGCTTGTTCGTCACTTGGTCACAAATTCATTGAGACTGCAACTGAAAATTTGCACATTTACTTGTAATTTTGAGTTACTATGGAAAGGTAARATAAGTTTATTTCACATTTCAGCTACAAGGCAATTCAAAGTGCTTTACAAGATTAAAGTCTCCATTAGTCACAGTCCAGTGAAATCCCACCAGCAGTAGTCTGAGGGGTTATATGTTTGCTTTGTTGCATCACTGCAGTATAGGCTTTTGTTTTTATAGGCTACTCTTTAGTTCACCATTTTGAATATGATTCAGTCTTTCATGAAAGTCTAAGCTATCCAAAAAAAAAAAAAAAAACATTCAAGTGCTCTGTTAAAAGCTGAATAAACATTCTCAATTGAATTTAACCTGCACTTAATTACAGCCTGCATGCATTACAACAGCCTTGTGTATTGGATTTGCAGAGACAAAGGGCTTGTGCTAATCAGACAGACGATGGCTTCATGGATGCAGCAGGAAGGCTAAATTAACATACAGTCCCTGAAAGCAGCTCACAGGTGGGACGGACTGGCTGCTGCTTGAACAGAATAAACAAAATAGTGAAGGAAACTAATGTGTCTACACAAGCAAAACATCTTGATTTTATACATTGTACATGTTTGTTTTATTTAGCTTCAATAGTTTTTTTTTTCTTTGTTTGCTTTGTGTGTGTGT